TCTACCTCAAGCCAGTTTACATTGCTTTAATTTATCTAATAAATCGTGCTCAAATCTTTTCTTTGATCAATTTTCAGGAAAATAAAACTAATTATTTTTTTTTTTATTTCTTGATGGACATATGTAAAGATATAAATACTTTTATGAAATAGATAAGAAATTCGTGTCGACACACCAGATTTTTTAAAGGTTATTTGTTTTAAATGAATGACTATTTTGAATTCTTAAATCAATTTCAACACTCAGTACTTCGGATTGAAAGTGTAAAGCTTTTAGCAGGCGTTTAGTGGAGTGCTACTTCAATAAGTACGACCAACAACGCCTTCATTAGGAGAGGTCATTGCAGAGGTTTTCAACTTGACTATTTCTTGTCATGGCAGGCCTTCGTCTCAAAGTGTCATCCAATAATAACTATTTTTGAAAGGAATAATTATTTCGAAATAAATTTTTAAATAATAAAGTTTTTATCAATATTTTGCTAAGAATCCTCGAAACGTAACTACCGTTAAAACAAGGAGCGAAGGTTAAGATGAAACTCAGGTTGTAGGACTCCTGGAGACGAGAAAGCTAAGTTGATTAGTGTTTTAAGGGAGCCTCACTAATTGAGCACCGCTTCGTCTAGAACAGTGTCTGCTCTCACTCAAGGACTCCACTAGGACAGTAATAGGGACAGGACAGAAAAAATCAAGACGGCTTATGAAGAGGGTATTACTAAAACCATTAATTATACATTACCGAGGATTTATCCAGTTGCGTTTTGAAAACGGACTAAGTCAACTTCATCAAATTAGTCCAGTCAGGTGCTAGTTGGATGGATAAAAAATTAACATATTTTAAGAAAAAATTATTCGGTTTTTTTAATGTTTTTCGGATGCTGAATCTGTATTTGAAGTTCCCGAACAAAATTTTCCATTTCGTTCTGAGATATAAGTAACAAACACCACAAATCGAAGGAATGAGAAATTAGAGCATGTTGATTGTTTGGTTATCTCATAAGAAAAATCTGTTTACATGGATTTAACTCGTAATCTATGCATCTCTCAAAGAAATTTATGGCATGAAAGAGCATTAAATTTCTTATCTAAGTGTACCTCATGTAGACACGTTAATATGTGTGAAAAAGCTACAGCGTACGAAATCGAAGACGTATTTCGCCAGCTTTTTATCTTTTCAATGATTTTGATTCGGCTATTTTAACTATATTTATAACAAGACTAGACAGTTTAAACAAATTACATAGTTTTTATATGTTCTGTTGGCATGAGAAACGTCAATATCAATAACAATAAACAAAAAATTAAGGACCTAAATGCGTTTTAATGTCCGAGCGGTCCAACGAATTTTCACCTATGTTCCTCATCCTTCTAGATTTTTCCAACGCGTTCGACACCGTTGACCATAACATAAACCTTACGAAATCGCACAATCTTCCTCTATCTAACAGTGTCCTGCGTTGGCTCAAATCCTTCCTTTCAAATCGGTCCCAGTATGTAGTCGTCCCAGGTCAACTCCCATCTAAGACCCTCCTCTTCTCCTATGGTGTCCCTCAAAGGTCCTCTCTATCTCCTTCTCTGTTTGCTACTTACATTAATGACCTTCCTCTCCTGATCCGTCACTCCCAATATCATATCTATGCGATGGCTTCCAAATATACCTGTTCTTCCCGCCCTCCGACCTATTATCAGCCACAGGAAAACTTCAAGAAGACTTGGATAAGATTTGTGACTGGGCGAAAGTCAACAAGTTAAAGTTCAATGCGGCAAAGACAAAGGCAATCTTAATTGGCTCCAATCACCTACTTAAAACTGTTCCACATATTCTAACTCTTTTCCTACATGATAATCCCATCAAATTTTATCGCTCTATCAAAAACCTTGGAATAACCTTCGATCAAACGCTTTCCTGGAAAAACCATGTATCCAATAACTCCCGCCGGACCATTGCCACCTTAAAACGCTTAAACCACTTCCGTCACTTATTTCCCCTTGAAACCCGTAGACTCCTGATCACTTCCTTAATTTTTACCCACTTTGACTATTGTTTTACGGTATATGGGGGTGTCTCTGGGGATCTCGAGGCGAATCTAAAACGCTTGATAAATTAATTTGTACGATTCATCTTCGGGATTCGAAGCGACTCCTCTGTTTCCCGTTTTTATGTAGAGTTGAAGTGGCTTTACCCTTCCTACCGTCGTAAATATTTCCTGGAATCCTTCCTCTTTCAAGTCATCAAATCCTACCGACCTTCATACATCTCCGAGCTCCTCCAATTCAAATCCTCTGTTCGCTCCCGCAATATTCTTTCCAGGTCTTCTGATTTATACATAAGGGCCCCCCGAACCGCTGCTTTCGACAGATCGTTCATTATCCGATCCTCATCCTTATGGAACTCCATCCCTTCCCACATCCGTCAATCCAAAACCCTTCCTACCTTTAAATCCTCTTGATAAATTACCCTAACCATCCTCCCTGTTTAATCATTTCTTATCCATACAGTTCCCATAAAATTTTAAATAGTTACCACTGTAAATATGTATATAAATTATTAGATCGTTCTTCATTATTTTTTTCTTTATTTTCAATTTTTTATTGTTAACTTATTTAAGTTAGAAAGTAACTTATAATTTTTTAATATGACTATTTCATTACTCAAAGTTTCTTTTTATGTATCTCTGAGGCTATGTATCTCTTTTTATGTATTCCTTAGCCCACATTAGTGTCCTTATGTATTATTCTAAAGGGACTCGTCAAAGAATAAATAAAGTATTATTATTATATTACGAATCTATATAAGCTTGAATAAAATCGTAATTACAGTAAAACTCTAATATAACTCGGGTATAATCGTTGAAACACGAAAAGTTGAAAAGTCATTGGAGTGCTCGAACTTCAAAGCGCATTTCGATATACAGAATTTGTAATATTTTTTAATTTACTTAAACTCTTAGATTAATAAATCTTATTCTTATATTTAGAGTAGTTCATAATTTCTCTTATATGTATATACTGATTAATAGTTTTAATTAAGGCTAAGTGTGCTCGAATTAGAAGGAATACAAAAAAGCTAAAAACTTTATTATTACTTTTTTTATTATAATACGAAAAAACTAATAAAAATCGAAAAATATAACATACGTGTTTCAATAGCTTGTAGAAACACGTAGAAGAACTGGTTTATGAAAGACGAGAGTCTACTTTGCTGCACATGTCGCCTTAATAACTGAGCCCAATCCTTGCACAAGGATTTTTATATTAAGTAGTTTGATAAATTTCACTTGTTTATTTTGATAAAAATATACCTTTATCATACAAAATATTTGAGTATTTGTATTCAATTATATTTTTTTCTAATTGTTAATAATTGCTTTGCGGAATTTATATTTGACAACCATTGTAAGCTTATTCTTTACCTATCGTGACGAAATAAAATCCTAAATACGCCTCACATACTTAATGACATCACTTAACAAAATAAAATTATTGATGAAAATATCGGACAATTCGATTCAACCTAGACAAATCCTAACATATTACCTTCACACTCCGACATCATTCTTGCTTCATGTTTCTTGTTTTTCTCAACAATCCCCGAATTCCTCAAACATATAAAGTGATTTGGATTGATCTTTGACAGAAGAATAACATGGGATCTACACTTAAAAAAAAATTAAACCTCAGACTACGACTACTACACTCACTTCTTTCAAGAGAGTTTTCATCGAAATACTTTCATAGCTGTAACAAAAGAACCTTGGAACTTCACAAACATTACGGTTAAAAAAGACCTTCAAATGACAATAGTTAACGACCACAAACGAATAAACCACACAGTATTTCACGATAAATTACACGGACGTATTAATAAAACCATACAAGGCATTATCATAATTCACATGTTCGATAAAACGTTTATGAGGTTCCAATGAAGGTGGATGATGGATCTTCTCGCTTAGGTTTATTTATTATTTATTTAACTTCAATCCTGCCCTCTCAGGCAATACACCAATTACCAATTTCATCAGTGGGGTATTCTGTTCGACGTAACCCACTGCTGCGTTTTTATCAATTTACATTTTTCCCCTTCTTTATCAAAACACTGCCTTCTTCAACTTGGTATTGCTACCTCTTTTTCATTCCGGTAGCCTTCTTGGCAGAGCTCCTTCTCTTCTTTCCAAGTAGAAGTGGATTGGTGCAACTATTTTTTTCCGCCGGTTTATGAAGGTTTTAAAGAACTTGAAGTAGTCTTAGGTCATTATTTGAAGATCTCTCTCCGTAAGGATGGAGTGGTCTGTCTCCCTCGACAGCTTCGCCCTAAGACACATACATACAGTCTAGTTTAGAATATGCTCAGCTATCTTTTATACTTCTCAACTTGAGCATAGGGGATCGATGTTACACCCCACTGAACTAGCTTTGATCAGAATCATCCATGTCCCGTAAGAATCTGTGAGATCCATTAATCCGGGAGGACCCAAATTGCTTACTATAAAAACTCAATTAATCATAAAAACTAATTTTAAGAGAGGAAGCAATCGGGGATCCAAATGGGCTTATGTATGCAATGTGATTATTCTATTATTAACATCTTGAAAGAAGTGAGTGTAGCAGACGTAGTCTGAGGTTAAACTTTTTTTTTTGTTTATGTGTGCACCCCATGTCATTCTCCAGTCAAAGATCAGACCAAGGCACTTTATATGTTTGAGAAATTCGGCATTGCTGAGGCAAACATGAACCCAAGAATGATGTCGGAGTGTGAAAGTAATGTGTTAGGATTTATTTTGTTTAAGTCGAATTGTCCACTGAACATTTCTATTCCTCACACCTATTAATTTCTTATACCATTATACTTCCCGATGCCTTACTCACGGATTGTCTGCATTGCTTACAGGTATGAGTGAAGAAATAAAGCTAAAATAAGAAGCTATTTCCACTAAATTAAAAAAAAAATCATTCATTTGCAATAATTTTACTGAATAAGGTTTAATAGTTATATGTTGTTGTTGTTGTTTTGCGCAGGTGGTAGGAGTCATGTCTGTGTTCTTCATCTTCGTAAGCGTGCTGACCTTCGCTCTGAAGACACACCCGGACCTGAGGGTGAGCTCAGTGGTGACCCACACCATCCTCGGGGCCAATGACACGGTGAAGAAGATCCGCAAGATCCGGACCGATCCTCATATCTCCTTTTTCTACGTCGAACTAGTCTGCAATGCGTGGTTCACCTTCGAGCTTCTAGTCCGCCTTGTGGTGAGTACTTCTCTCTTTTGTTTGCGCTTGAAAATGATAGAACTTATTTTTGTGTATATTGAATCTAAACATCTCTAGTAAAAATGTGTATCACACACCATTAGTACAAATATATGAGTATAAACACCAAAACATCTCGTTGCTGTTCTCTCAAAAAATATTGAGATAACAAGGTTTATGTTCAATATTAGACCTTCTTACTCGAAGAGACGATCAGAAAAAAATCATTGTTGTGGCTAACATATGGACAATGAAATTGTACGTATGCTCAACCGTGTTGAGTCGCTAAACCATTCAGCATAATAATCAGTCATAATTGATACCGTCTAATATAAGAGAATAAATGGGATAAAATATTACGGGACCACCAACCGACGTACCGAATGTTATTATTTATTCATATTCATTCACTGTTATCAGTTTCCTCTCTCTCACTTTTGTCCGCTGAGTCCACAAAACCCACAACTAATACAGGTGGTGGTTTAAGGGTTTCTAATGAGTCCGAAATAATAGATTCTGCTATACTCTGCAGATGGCTCCTTGCCACATCCGGCCCTACCAAAAAAATCAGCTGTGGATAAAGGGAAAAAGAAAAATATTTTAGTTAGTTCATAAGATTATATAAATTATTAACGACTACTTTTATTGTACACCTCAGTTTGTAATTTCCGGCGAATATTCTGAATCCGTATCGCTATAATAATCATTATAAAAATAAATCAATGTGTAAACACTCTCTGATTGAGTTGCAACTCTCTTTAAGCCCGACTAGCGGCACCTCAACATCTTCCTCCAAGGAGACATCTCAGGAGCATTATCTCTTCACGGATAGCAGCTATCTTTTCCTCCAAGAGGACTTCACGTTAAGACAGCCGTTGGTCCACGGCGAGGGCCCCATAAGATTTGTCATTACTTTACGATGAAGTTAGCTGAATCTTTTTAATCCATCTGCAATGCAAGTTAATGAATTATATTTTATTATACATTTATGTATTATTTATCGATGTATTATATTTTCTATTAATTTAAAACTCAATGACCAGTTTGAGTTAAGCTGATGCTTGTACTGATAAGGTTTTTAAGTAACCACAAAGATTAAAATAACAGAAGAATGACATGGGGCCTACATATCCAAAATAAAACAAAAACTCTAAACCTAAGACTACGACTACTACACTCCCTCTTTCCAAGACATTCGGAATTAAAACTTAGACAGATAGCAGGAGGCTCAAAAGAAATCCCGAAGGAGGCTTAAAAGAAGCTGGATGTGGGATCTCTTCTACTAACTATAAATATTTAATTGAAGGCAGGAAAGACCCCGCTGGGCACTCCTCTCCCTCACGCCTATTCCAAGACCTATTATTCTTCTACATCTCGACATCACTCTCGCTGATTGTCGAAGCTTCTGATAGGTGTGTGTTGAAAAATTAATTTAATAAAAAAATATCTTTCTTGTCATTCCTTCCTTTTTTAAATATTAAGTTCATAATTTTAGTTTTAACAAAAAAATTCAACACTAGCTGAAGATAAAATTTATCTTAATTAGTTACAAACAATTGGAGACATATATAGATAAGGATGATATCTACTTATATTTATAATATTAACAAACCAAGATTCTAGGTGATTTTCTGGGTGAATCGCATGGTCTCAACCAAGTTACGAAACTTGGAACTGAGACCGTTTTTTTTTTGGTTATTTAAAAGTTTTTTCATGATTCCTTGCTAAATCATCGGAATGTTACGAAAATTCATCATGTGACATAACCTTAAATAACCAAGAACTCAAATGAATTTTCTCTTTGTAAAATAAATAAAAAAATGTGCGCTTTTTTGTAACTATATTTAATACATAAAAGGATTTGTGTCATTTTAGTGCACCTGCTGGCTCTTTCTAGGTATCCATAAATAAAAACGAAATTCACAAAAACGTTCTTAAAAACTGAGCTCTGGTTGACTTTTATTACAAATAACTGACGATACAATTATTTCATTTATAAGTAAATAAAACGCACCGAGATGTTTTCATGCATGTTTAAGCGAAAGGATTACTTTTTCTCATCAATTTTTAAAAATACCTCACTAATCCAAATGAAAAATTATGAATCTTTTTTAGAAAATTTAGACGAGCTTGAGGCGACAAGGGCATCAGGAATAATAAACTTTCGGTATTATTCAGATTTATTATTAATTGATAAACAGTTTATTCTAATTAATATTATTATCAATAATATTAATTAATTAATAAGTATAAATTGGTGGAGAGGAGTAGTAGTTATGATGGGATGCTTAAAAATAACGATCGAAGGAGACTTTAGTTGGAAAGACGTTTTAGTCTTTTCGTCAAAGATTTTAATAAGCTCTGTTCTAAACTCTCATTGTAAAACTAAAACCACAAGTTAAGGTCTTCTCTCTGAGGAGAAACTCTATTCAAAGGACAACTTTTTTAATGTACTGATATTCGAGAGATGAAAATTTAAAAAGTTTTAAATGATTTTTAAAGAGCAGCACTATTTATAAGTCATAAATAAAGTAAAAATTCAAAAAAAGTGTACGTAAAATCTAGATAGTGCAACGCCTGAGTTTCAACAGTTTTTCAGAAAATGATAACTCATACAAAATAAATTAAGCATCAGCAATGTGTATAATTTCATTGAAAATCTATTTTCTTTAAAATAATAACACGGCTTCATTGCTTATAAAAATTTAGGATGAAAATATTTTATGAACGTTGAAAATAGGTACAAAGGAACTGATTTCACAAAAAAATATATGAGTGAAAAATAATATGAAGATAAAACTTTTTGAAGATAAGATGATGTATTTTTATTTTAAAATCCAAAATAATTTTCTATATCGATTCCGTTATTGTATTAAATTGGCAGTTGACAAAAAGAACCTATTAGCATTAAAACTTTTGAAAAATATAACCGAATTTACAAGATTTTGGGAGGTATTATCTATTGTTCTAATAATGCACCCTACACTATGAATCGTTCGTCACAATTGACTATCAAACGTGATATGTAACTGACAAATTGACCCTATCATGATGTTTTTTTTATAGATAGAAAACACTCAAAATTTCCCACTAGAGAAATTAAATATCTAACCCTATAATTAACTTTAGCATTGGGAAGAGTAAATATTTTCAAAGAATAAAGTATACAAAAAAAATTATAGATATAAATTTAGTCCCCAAATCAATCAAACACGTTGATGATGGTAGAATCATATGATAAGTGTGAATAAGTATTTAATAGTAAAACTACTATTTAACAGTAATCACAATTTAATATAACAGCGTCAAACAAATGGTAACTACCGAATATGAAAAATTATAATTTTGCACTCAAGCGATTACTTCAAAAACGATGGACATAATGGCAAATGGGCAAACCCGAATGGCTTTTTGACAAAGTACAGTAACAGTACTTGCAACATATTGAAAATGTAGATTATTGATAGATGTTCTATAGCTAGGTACTGAATACAATTTTCACGATTCTGCAATTGAAATTCTTGACATTTTTTTTAATCAAACTGTTGAAAACAATTGAGTGCGTCACATTTATTACTTTGATCTGCACAGAAAATGGTTCTATTCATTGCAAAACATCGAATACGTCATTTCCAATTGTTTGATGTGGTTTTATTTTTCAGTTTTACAATGTAATTTTATAGCAAACTCTTGAATCTGACATATTCTTCACTTTGCGTTGACAATCATATATTGAGCTGTCCTGAAATTAAGTCATGAAAATTAGCAAATATACCACATTCGTAAGTTTGCATTGCAAAAAGTAAAGAATTTATAATTCAAACTATGAATACAATATAAGGAAAGTATATTTAATTAATTCTAACAGGTCTCACTAACACTACAATATCACTTACTTAAATTACAAGATTGGTTCACAATATGGAAAATTCGACTTGATCATGAAAAATCCAAACATACATCCGAAAAATCCGAATAAATGTATTCTTCGGAAAAACACCTGCTCCCTCCCCCAAGTTTATATTGACAACAATTAAATTCATCAAACGGACACGGTACTTTACTTTGGACTCACCTTCGACAGAAGGATGACATGGGGTCCGCATGTTAAAATGAAACGTAAGACTAAAACTACTTTACTTTTTTTTTTCTAAATCTTCAAAACTAAAACTAAAATAGAATACATATACATACTTACTTAAGCCCATATGGACATACTCATCATAAATATCGCTAAGAAGACCCACCAATAAAAACTTCAAACGTTCCAATCAAAATTATTGCGACTCATAACAAAAGCACCTTGGTACATGACTAACAAAACTCTACATACTGACCTCCACTTTCCAACTGTTGACCAACTTATAACGTCTCTTTATCAACGATTTTACAAAAATTAAAATGGACATAATAACAGACTTATAAGAGAGATGGCCACAGCTGACATACTTCAGAACATGAAGAGGAGACTAAAAAGGCGTTGGATGCGGGATCTCTTCCCTTAGACAACCTAAGTAATTGGAACAAGTTAGGGAAGAGGTACTGCTGGGTACTTTCCTTCCCCATGCCCATCATGTCATTATATCATGTATCGCCATCGCATTTGCTGATTGTCAACAATAAGTTGACAGGCGCAAATAAATATCATATAGAAAAGAAATTAATTGTAATTAAATATGTTTAAATAATGAATACAAAATCTTCAAACATTCATAAAAACACATATTAGTGTGGACATTAAAGTATCCTCATTCTTTGGGATCAATTTATCATAATATTACAAGCGTTTTTTTCGTTTCCTGAAAAGTGGTGATTTGCAGACTCGAGTAGTAAAAAAAAAGAATCTTAGATGCACATGTACGGAAATAGGTGCTTAATTGGGCAGAACTATTGCCCTGTTAGCGAAGACTTTTAAAGGGCAGTAACTCAAGGCCGAGCTGTAGGTTTATGGGCCCTTAAGATCCAGATAAGCCCTTACGCCGCCCTATCCAGCAAAAAAA